CTTTGAAGATACCATGTATTACAGCAGTCATTGATACTTTCCTGCTAATCTATCCATAACTCTGTAATGTTTGTATGGTTCCTATCCTATTTCCATTTAAATGGATCCATGTTTATTATTATGTGTTTCCTACAACAACCATTGAGAATTATTGAATGATTATTCAGTAGGTCACTCATGTATAGTTCTATTTATATTCTTTAGAAGCCACTTTGAAGATACCAAAGTATAGTACAACAACTATTGATAATCTCCTACCTCTTTTGTCTGTAACTCACTATCATTTGTCTATTTGTTTTCCTGAGAAACTATCCTGTAGATAACAATATGTAAAACAATAACCATTGATAATTTCCTACCACTTTGTCTGTAATTTGGTAAGCCCCCCCCATTATTACGTTATCCTTCTTTTACTCTTTAAAATAAAAAAAAAAAAATTTTAAAAAAAGCCTCTAAAGGACAGAGGAAGAAGTGGACAGTCCCTTCAGACAGAGGTGACTAACATGAGGTGCCTTGTGCGTGGAGCTCTGTATGAGATGGAATAAATCACCTGGATTTCTAAGACAGTATCTGATACCTCTAAACTTGATGAACTTCTGTTTTGATTAAGACCGTTGCCTTCCCTTTTCATTTAGTAATCATAAAGAAAACTCTTAATCACAGAGGATATGTGGAACTGATTGTTTAACTACTTATTATAATGATTTGTACTTGAAAATAAAACACCTACATAAGACTTTGGGATACATTACTGGAATTTTTTCCCTAGATTTTTGTGTCTGATAGTGTAAGTGGTTTCTGTTTCCTATACCAATAGCCAGTAGACTTTTCCTGAAAGAGGCTAGATAATAAGTATTTAGACTTTTCAAGCCATATCTTGCTTCTGACATACATTCTTCTTTGGTTTTTTTTCTCCCACCCTTTAGAAATGTAAAAAGCACTGTTGATTGACCTGCCAACCCCTGCCTTGCCCAGATAACAGTTATTTGAGAGAAAAAGGGAAGACTGGGTTAGGATACTTAGGCTCTAAAAATGAAGCATTATCCATGTAATATATACCTAATGCGTTAGGCAGGTGACACTGGGAAATTTCATATGCAGATATCTTAGAATTTGGTGGGTTTGATAGGGGAAAAGTGACTGACTGGTAACATACATTTATTTGCTTACTTCTTCCTCACTATAGCATGAATCCCTTCTCCTCTGACAGGTCTGTTGGAAAATAGCCCTGAGTTTATCTTTAGATCTGTTTTATTCTATCATTATCTTGTCTTTTTGAGACAGGGTCTCACTATGCAGTTCAGGCAGGCCTTGAGCTCACTTAGTAGCCCAGGGTGGTCTCGAACTTGCAACAATCCTCCTGCCTCAGCCTCCCTAGTGCTGAGATTACAGGTGTGCGCCACGACACCTGGCTAGATCTTTCTTAAAGATAGCAGCAGTGTTATGGAAAAGGTTAGACTGGTGGTCAGAGATCTGCCCCCTGGACTTGACACATCTTCTGTATTCTCTTGGCTCATTCACCTTGGCTGTTGGAAACTGTGTGGTTTAGCGTAGGACAGGTTGATTCTGAGGTTCTTGTCAGCTTGAATTTTTTGCTGCTGAGTACTTACCAAAGTATTGCCTTCAGTGTATCTTCTTTACTTCTGGTCTTTTGAAAAGCAGGATGACAGAAGAAAGTACTTCTTCCTTGATAGTAGCTGGCCATCCCATGTCAGTTATTACAGAAAGCAACTAGGTTTTCATTGTAAGAGTGGATATAACTTCCCGCAGCCTGATAAAAGTTTCTGTGTTTATTCCCTTCTTACTTTTTCTCCTTCTTCTGCTGCTTCCTTCACGTTTTGTCATCTCTGAGAAAGACTTAAAAGAGTAAAACAAGAAAGCTGCTAAGTACTAGGGACATGATGATTTCAAGGTGCCTATAGGACATCCAGGTGTAGGTATCTGCTAGCCATCTGATACTCAGCATAGTCATAGAATTGGTAAATGAAGCTATGGGAGTAGACTCAATGATCCAAGAGGATCATCTTTTATATCAAGTATAAAAGAGAATCTGCAAACTTTAAAAGACAGAAGAGGAAGCCTGCCAAATGGAGCAGGAAAATAGAACTAGGACTAGGAAGGTAGTGCCTCATGAAGACGACAGTGGCTATTACTGTGACTTTTTTTTTTTTCCCTGTGGTACGATGTTTTTAATTATTCTGGGAAGATACCTAGAAGGGGAATAGCTGGGTCAAATGGAACCTATAGTCCTAGTTTTTTGAGGAATCTCCACACTGATTTCCACAGTGGTTGTACCAGGCTATACCCACCAACAGTGGAGAAGGTTCCTTCTTCCCCACAGCCCCTGCAACATTTGTTACTGGTTGATTTTTGATGATTGCCATTCTTTCTGGAGTGAGATGGAATCTCAGTGTTGTTTTAATTTGCATCTCTCAAGTGATGAGTGATGTTGAACATTTTTTCATATATTTATTTGCTGTTTGTATTTCCTCATCTGAAAATTGTGTATTCATCTCAGGTGCCCATTTTTGGATTGGGTCTTTGTATTTGAGAGGTCTGATTTTCTTGAGTTCTTTATACATTCTCGATAGTAAACCTTTGTCTGAGGAATATCTGGCAAACATTTTCTCCCACACTGTGGGTTGTCTCTTCACTCGGTTGGTTTCTCTTACTGTGCAAAAGCTTTTTAATAAGATGAGACCCCAGTTGTTGATTCTAGTTCCTCTTTTCTTTTTTTTTTTTTTTTTTGGTTTTTCTCTGGTACCAGGAACCGAACTCACGACCTTTCGCTTGCCAGGCAAGCGCTTTTGCCACTGAGCTAAATCCCCAGCCCCAGTTCCTCTTTTCTTGAAGGCTGAGCTACAGTATCACTGATGACTTTGAGAAAGTCTTTAGGTCTGAAGACTTCGGAGTCAGGAGATAAGGATCAGAGTATGTCTCTAGGCTTTAGCATCGGGGAGTCCTTATCCTCTTGGATGGTGCCACTTCCATGAGCAGATAAAGGGGCAAAAAGTGAGGCAGCATTCCCAGACTCAAACAGGTTTGACAGGAGAGGAGAGAATTGAAAGGTAGCTGGAGGAGAAATTGGAGCTGAGCAGAATAGTGACTGTTGTTAGTAAAGAGATTAGATTTTAGCGTGTTTAAATGTTGATGAGAAAGAGCCAACTATAGGATGGCAAGACAGCACCTAGGCCAGTTAACAGTGGGAAATGTGCTACTCCAGCCTCCAGCACAAATACATGTGACTAGTTTTCTTCTATATACTTAATGATTTCCTCATATTAAAGCTTTGACTTAACAGTATATATCATTGGTGAAACAGAGTTAAATCTAAAATCCAGTCTTATGCCTTGGTCTTTGTCTACTCTGCCGATGGTTGAGGGCTGAAGACCCAGAGCACATAAAGCCCTAAAATGGGATGCAGAGCTTGGAGGGCGCTGTCTTGCCTTGCCTCGCTGACAGACCAGTATCCCACATACCACCGAGAAAGAAAAAGAAAATAGTCAGTGATTATAAGACACATCCCAGCATAAGTGATACTAGCATTTGAAAAAAATGTGAGTCTTAGAATTGATGGAGTACAGTATTAGCCGTGGATGGATGTTAACAGATGTTGGGAGCAAGAAACAGTATGATATTCATGTATATGTACTGGCAAACAGGTAAGGATGTTTTTGCTTCTCTTTCTTTAGGATGAAGTCCAGTTTATCTTTCGGGCATGGGGAGAGGTTCCACTTCTCAAAAGTGGGAAGTCTTTGAATCATTGACCCAAGAACATGTAGGATTGATGGAAAGCACTGAGAGCAGGGACCATGCATTCAGAGTGTGTGGCTGTATGATTGTCTTGAAAGATGCCTAAGTCTGTGTCATCCTGTGGAGAGAGTAGACAGTGGCTTCATCCAGGACCAAGGACTTGTTAGGCAGCATTGAAGACAGGCAAAAATATTGGGAAAACTAAAGCAGGCAATGTAGTGGTCACCTGGTATAGAGGCCACGTTGAGAGACAAAAAACACAGGCACACTGGAGTTGTCACTGTAAAGAAAATAAAGTCTCATGGGACTCCCCCTTCCACTGTGTTGACTTAAAATTCAGTTTTACATAAAAGATACACAACTGTACTCATTTTGTATGTGAGTTCTTTACTCAACTATTAAACCAAAAACATTCAGAAATTTAAGTAGAAAGAAACCTCTGTAACAAAATCCAAATGACTCAGTGAATGTAATACCCTGGATAGTGATGTTTAACATTTAGAATGGAAATGAGACTGGCTGTTGAGGCTGAGATTGTTGCACCTGACATTAGCGTGCACTATCACTGCACACGCTTCCTTTTGTGTCTGGCAGGCTCATGGGTGTCATTTCAGAGTGACTGGGCCAGAGTACAGGTGCCTCTTCCCAGATGGTGATGTGAAAATCTGATGGTGTTCAGATGACCCAAAATGCACAAGTTATTTTATTCATTATCATCAGAATTAAAATAAATATAAATTATGGATGCCCGAGGGTCTTGTGATTTGTATAAATCATGAACAAGAGCAAGGTGGTCTGGTCACCAGCAGCTGCATCGCTTCAGAATTCATTGGAAATACAAATGTCCAGTTTCTCTTCCTCCAGCCAACCTGATCAGAAAGCCTGGAGCTAGATGAGCTGGCGGGGCTTTCATATGCCCTCTGGGGGATTTTAGTACAAGCCTGTACGGGAACTAACTGCTGTTCTAACCTATCTTTTTCACCCTAGTTTTGCAGATGATTACACTGAGTCCCAAGAGCACCTGGCTTAAGATCTCAAGATTTCAGTTTATTTCTGAAAAAACTGGGTCTTGAACCTGCAATTCTAAAATTTAGTCCAGTTCTATTTCCAAACCACTGCATTATCATTTATCTCTCAGGTTTTGGTGGGGGAGGGTTAATCACATTGTTTTGTGTGTTTTGGTTTGGGTTAGGTTTTAAGGAGATGTTACTAAAGCTTTGGGTTCTTCTTCTTCTTGTTCTCTTTAGTGCCAGAACCTACTAAGACCTGTTCAAGCCAGCCCCAATCTGCCAGTACCAGTACCATTACTTCCACCAGCACTATCTCCAGCAGCAACAATGGCAAACGTGCACCTGCCAGTGGCCAGCAACCAGCTGCATCCCGTTACCTGCCTCGTGAGGTGCCTCCACGCTTCCGCCAGCAAGAACAGAAACAGCTGTTAAAGAGAGGCCAGCCATTGCCCACAGGGACCCTGACCAGTGTGAGTCCAGCGCAGGGTGCTGGGCCTACAGGGGCAAGCCCTCCTCCCCTTCCTGGAGCTGGGCAGCATCCCAGCAAGCTCCAACCAGGTAAAAACCAGGAAGAGTGTGACTTTTCTTTTCCTTTTTTTTTTTTTAAGTATTGGAAATCTAACCATAGCCTCACACATACTAGGTGAGCATTCTAAACACTGAACTACACCCCCAGCCTAAGACTTTTTAATCTAAGGACTTTGTTGATGAGAAATAAAATAGACATATTTTGGTTCATATTCATTACATACATGTAACAGAAATAGAACGGTCCATTTTAGGTAGACTGGAAAGTTTGTGGCTTCCCCTATTTATTTATGATACTTCTCTTGCATCTGCAGATGGCATTAGCTACTATAGCTCCACTTATCTCTCACCAGTAGCTAAAGGTCTTATGTTGGTCCATGTGGCCCATCAAGTTGGATGCTTTAGAACTACTATGCAGTGAAATTTACTTCCCTCCATTGCCCAGGCTATCTCCTGGATATGTACACATCCTTGGGCTTTCATTTGCCCTCTGGAGGATTTTAGTACACGTCTGTATGGGAACTAACTGCTATTCTAATCTAACTTTATTACCCTAGTTTAGGTGATCTAAGCCTGACTGATAGCCTTTGTTCTGAGCCCATGTGAACTCTTAGGTTTTTCCTTGCTTGTGTCTTGTTGCTGCCTTCCCCATATGTTAGCTTTCTTTTGGCTCCCAAGAAAAATCACCACTTGCCCATTTGCCAGCTTTCCAGCTGTCAAAATATACACAGCCCCTATCGTAGCTCCTTTTTCAGTCTCCCTGACCTTACGAATTTATGTATGCTTTTGAGAAATCTCTTCACTGTAGTTTTAGGGAAATTTTTGGATGAGAACAAAATATTTCTGTTCAACTGCCATGTTTCTTTGTTTTGTTACATATTACATTTTTCTGTTTCAAGTAATTTAACTTCTAGATTTTGCTATAGCTCTTCAAATATACGTTCATGCTGCAGGTGTAGTATGCATGCCTGTAATCCCAGCACTTGGAAAGCTCGAGACAGGAGGATCACCACAAATTTGAGGCCAGCCTGAGCTATATAAAGTGTAAGGCCAACCTGAACTATATAGTGAGTGTAAGGCCAGCCTGAACTATATAGTGAGACCCTGTTTTTAAAAACGTTATATATATATATATATATATATATTCATTGACTGAAAGTGTAGTCCTGTCTGGCTACAAATACTTTGCAAGCAAACATACCAGTTATTTCATTGAAATACAGTCATCAAGATAGTCTTAACAGAGAGTCTGGTCAGGTTTAGACAGCTTAATATACAAGTGTAAGGCCCTTAATGAAAAACGGAATAAGTGACCCTTTCTCTCTAGGTGCCTCTCTTGTGATACAATTGGGTAACAGTTTTCTTGAGTGTTTTTGGTAGTTCTTTTGGTACAGGAGGATACTGAGACCTGCTTAGATAAGTAGAAAATAATCAAGGAATGAATTCTGTCAAATTACAGTATGAAAGCAGTAGTCTTTCATAAGCAGTGTTTGGGGTTAGGGTTATAGCTCAGTGATAGAGTGCTTGCTTACCCCTCCAGTGTATTCCTCAGTGTCTCTCACACACGTACATGTAGTATATAGAAAATTTGTGTAAAAACAGAAATCCTTATTTTATGGATAAAAATGTCAAAAATTTGAATCCAATCTATATAATAAATATAAAATAAATTGATCCCTGGCTCCCAAAGTCTTCATTTTATACCATCTGTCCTCCCTCAAAGCCTCTGGTATCATAGCCAGGTGGATCTTGCTGTCACTTTTCATTGATTAAGAGATACCCTCAGGGCCAGGCATGTGGTGCATTTTTATAATCCCAGCACTCAGGTGGCTGAGGCCAGAGGGTCACTGTGAGTTCAGGGTCAGCCTGGGCTACATAGTGAACTCAAGGCCAACTTAAAGTACACAGTGAGACTCTGTCTCAAAAAAAAAAAAAGACATACCATCAGAAAGTGCATCTTCCTATCGTAGATGCAGTTTTTCTCTGTTCACTGCCTTGTCTGGCAATACTTTACTCTTCTTCTCTGTAGTTCCCCTTTCTCCTAACTAGACCGGTTGCTGACACCTCTTAGGCCTGCCAGCTCAGCACCAAATCTTTGCCAGTAGGTGCACCAGAAAGATTGATCTTTCACTTCCTTTCTTTTATTTATTCAGTCTCACCTCTAAACTAAATTTAAAATAATCTATGAAAAAGGTACCCAGACTTTCTGTTAGCTTAGCAAAGTGGAAAACCAAGCAATACTTCATTTCTCATCTAAAAGAAAAGGTCTGATTCTCTCATGGCCTCTAATCTTTAAGATCCCTTTCTTTTACCTTCTGGCTCACCAGAGAGTTGTTGTGCTATTCATGTTGGATGTTGCTGGAATACCGTGGTGTTGTGGGTCAGCACCAGCATTATATGTGACTGGCAGTGGTGAGGAGATATCCTATAGGGTGATTAGAAAGGCCTGCTTCACCTTGCAGGCCATAGCTCCTGTGGGATGTTGACCAGCTCGCTTTAACTGTCAGTGCTTTCCCCTCTCTGTGGAGTGAAGAGATTCCTCCCTGGTAGGATTGTAAAAATGAGGTGTTTGTTTTGTGCCTAGCACAGGCCCCTCTACCTATAGTAAGTATTCAGTAAATGCATGGGAGTTGTTAATTGGGACTTTGAGACTTTGAAATATGTGACCAATATGTACCCATCTTTGAAATATTGTGTGCAATAGAGTGGGAAAAAAGAAAACTTTTAGGTCTTTAAATGACTGTATTCTAAAACAATGCAACGCTTTCTCCTTACTGTGACTTCTACATATGGTATTTTGGGATTTCATCTGTTCTTCTTGGAGTTAAATACCAATTTTTGTTTTTCATGGCACAATTTATTTGATGAATTTAAATCCAGGTGAAATTCTGTTAGTGTATTTGAGAAGAATAACTCGATTTCTTGATGCAATTAAGATATTTAAAATACTGCTTGAAATAAAAACTTGTAACAGTTTCTTTTAAGTAATACATAGACTTTCATGAAAAGTAAAGTTCATGAGTACATTCCTCTAACTGTAAAGTTACATAAATAGAAGTATGAATACTGAGTCAGCAGAACTTAGAGTGGATCAACCAGGCAGGGGCAGATAAGTGACTAATCCTGAAGAATTGAACAGCATACCACTTCCAACGAAAAGTGCAACTGGGAAATACTTCAACCTAGTACCTTCATTTCTGTGTTCTTTCCAAGGGGTCAGCATGTGAACTCTTCCTCTGTCAAGTTTCAGTGTTCTTAGGAAAGCTGAAAAAAGGTTAAATGTCTCTGGAAGGAATTGATAGAGTTTGAATGATCTTTACTACAGCTTTGATTTTTTTTTTTTTTAATTTTTTTCATACTGGGGATTGAACCTAGGACCTCACACTGAGTTGCATCCCCAGCCCTAATTTTCTGTTTTTATTTTGAGACAGTATCTTGCTAAGTTGTCCAGCTAGGCTTGAACTTTTGATCCTCCTGCTTTTGTCTCCTAGAGTGCTGGGTTTATAGACCTGCCCATCAGGCCGGGGATATAGCTCAGTGGCACAGTACCTGCCTGGCAAGCTCAAGGTCCTGAGTTCAAGTCCCATTACTAAAAATAAAGACTATAAATACTATAGACATGCCCATCATGCCCGGCTTATCACCGCTTTTTTTTTTTTTTTTTTTTGAGACTGGGTCTCATTGTGTAGTTCAGGCTAGTCTTGAACTATGTAGCCTAGACTGGCCTCACAGTCATGACAGTCCTCCTGCTTCAGCCTCCTGAGTTACCATTGTTTTTTAAAATTGCCTTGTGCAAGCCTAAGAAGACAGATGGACATCTTGGTTTCTTCACATTTGAGTGACCATTTGCCAACCTCTTTCATGAGAATGTTGATTGTCGCAGTCCTCACCATTTTAATGGGAAGCTTACATGTCCATTCCAACAGAGAGAATTTATGGATGTTAAGCAATATATGTATAGAAGTGGAAACGTTTTAAAAGAGTTGAAAATTGGATTTGTTGGGATTTTTTTAGCCTTGTACATATAGAAAATTTGCTGTTGTTTTTGAATCAAGGACTCACTGTGTAGCCCAGACTGGCCTTGAACTTCTGGTGATATTCCTGCCTCATCCTCCCAAGTGCTGGGATTATGTGCATGTGCCACTATGCCCAGCTAAATATAGATAAAAATTTATATACTTTCGTAGTACAAGACAGCTGGCTTAACTTGTTTTTGTTTTGTTCGTGTACCACAATACTGCCTAACAGACTATATGGCTCTCTTGGCTTAGCATCATTTTTATGTTATCACCACCTTAGCTAGGTGTCATGGAGAGGCTTTGTTGCTGTTGCAGCATTATTAAAGTCAACATTTACCCCATTTGGTAAGATGGGATGTAACTAACATTTCTAATACCAAGACTTTTAATACTGACATTCACAAATAAGTCCTGGAGAGTACATTAGCAAGGTTTAATAATGCTGATGTTGCAGTTAAGCTTAAGGCAGAAACAGACATTTTGTAATGGGCTACCCATTCGAAAGTAAGCTTTCTGGCAGGCATCAAGCTGACTGTTGCCATTAGCAGTTGGTGCTGTGACTGTACTTTTAATATATTTTGTGAGCTATTTCCCTCGTGGAAAATGGGCTCTTAAGCATGCCCAGAGCAGCCAGAGTGACAAAGCCCTAACTAGAAATGTTCTTGGAGCTGGAAAAGTAACTGTGAGCCATACAGGAGGAAAAGAGGGCAACCCTGTGGTACAGGAGCCCCTGCCCAGGGCAGCTCCAGCTCAGGCCATGTGTAGGGTGCAGCCTGTAGCAGAACTCGTGTTTTCTCCATCACCAGCAGTAGCCAAAGACATAGTCAGCTGTCCTCAGTGTGGAAGGGCTTCTGCCCAGTAAACTGGCCAGCACTCTTTTCAGCCCTGATCTAGGCTGGGAGGAATAAGCACTAATGCTGGCAGATAAATACTGGCCTTCTCACAGAATAATCCAAGGGAAAGTGGAGTGGTTTTTTGGGGGTTTTTTTTTTTTTGGGTTTTTTTTTTTTT